AGCTATGTTATCAGTAACAATATATATTTTGTTAGAAAATAAATTATTATTATATATATAAAAGTTTTTTTCTTTTCTTATTATTTTAGTTTTAGAAATTGTTAAAGAGAGTTGATATACTTTTATAGCAAATTATATTTAAATATACTTAATATAATCAAATAAGTTTAAACTAAAATTAGTAAAAAGATAAATAATTATATTAAAATATAATTTCTTATTTTATATTATCTTTTTTTTTTCTACTTAAACGATCTTGTCTTTTATTTTATTAGAAGAATCATTATATAAGATAACATAAACAATATAAAAATACTATTTTGATATAATACTTTACTACTCTTCTTGTTACAATTTAGGATTAGCTCAGCTACTCAGATGATGCTTAAACTTAATCTGCTACAAAAGTATTTTATCTTCTATTGGTATTATACTATCTAGTAAAAAAGAATACTAATAATCAAAAAAAGACAACTTCTAGTTTATATCAAAATTCTAGGTCTTATTCTATATTATCAATTGCAATAAATTATTTTTAAATAAAAAAAAAACAAAATTACTCAAATAAAAAAAATATTATTATTATATTTGTAATAAGTTTTATATAGCTAATATTAGAATTAAACATACTTGTATAGGTTTTACTATAGTTGCAATACTAGTACGTATACTTAAAAAAATATATTATATTATTGTTTTTTTATTCCTTTCTTTTTTATATTACAGTAGCAGATAGTAAAAAATTTATAAAACAAAACTATAATTTCTATTTTTTATTTTGATTTGAATAATCACGTGCATGTACGGTACGAATCAAATAAAAGAATAAAAGTAGCAGGTAGTCAAAAAATATACATACGTATGTACGTAAAAATTGAGAAATATCTGCGCAAAGTATAAAGATACCTATCACATTTTGTGAACAAACTATTTGTGCTACAGTGATATTTTCCGGTACAGGTGTTACACATTATATAACGTGAGATTCCAACTCATAAGCAGTTTTCCCTCAAACTCCTCTGCTTTCTAGGTATTTACTAACTTTTAAGTTGTATTCATTTCCTGTGGCTTGTTTCTACCTTTTTGTATTTTCTAAAGATTAATTTATTTAATTGCATTTTAATAATTTCTGATTCGGATGTTTAATTAACAGTCTCAACTCTATAGAAAACGTGCGAAGTTAGATCAAGAAACATTTAACAATGGGTTCGGAAAAACTTTTATCTGGGAGAGCAACAAAACAAAATCCGTTGTCCTCCTCTTCAACTTCGCACGCAAAAGCTGCTACTATACCCTCAGAACTGATCCTACAAATTTTCAAATACGTAACTACTACTGCCGACCTTAAGTCTTGCATTTTAGTATGCAAATCATGGTGTCGGTGCGGAGTTGAATTGTTATGGCATAAGCCAGTCTTCACTGGCACTGCATCCCTTATTAAGCTGCTGGTCACATTATCACGTACCACTCAAACATTTCAATACTCCCTTCTCATCCGTCGTCTTAATTTTTCTTTTTTGGGCGAGAATATAAACGACCAAATTCTTGCCCGATTGAGCTCCTGTGAACGATTAGAGAGGCTAACTCTTGGAGGTTGCAGAAGGGTGACGGATATAGGGCTTTTGAAATTGCTAGAAAAGGCCGATGGTCTGGTGGCTTTAGACGTGTCAGACATTGAAAATCTGACAGATTCGGTAGTAGAACTGGTTGGTGAACGATGTCGGCGATTACAAGGTTTGAATGTGAGCTTGTGTAAAAAAATTTCTGATAAGAGCATCATGGTGGTAGCTTCAAAATGCAGGAGTTTAAGGAGGGTAGGTAATCAATTATTTTTATTTTCATAAGACGATTAATTTTATATGCATATATATTATTTATTGATATGATGCAAGTAAATTTTGAAAAGAACAAGTCTATTAGAAAATATTAATGTTCGATCATTCGTCTATTTGATTTTTTTTTTCTTTTTTTTTTTTCTTTGTGCTATATAGATTAAACTTAGCAATTGCGACAATATTACCGATGAATCTGTTGTGGTTTTGGCTAAAAATTGTCCACACCTATTGGAATTAGATCTTACCAATTGTAACCAAATAACCAATAAAGCAATTAAACCAGTTTTCGAAAATTGCACACAATTGCGAGAACTTCGACTTGCTTGCTGTGCTCTTCTCACCGATGAATCATTTACAAGAACAACGCCATCGTTATTTGAACAGCTACGTGTGCTAGATCTTACATCATGTACTCTTATCACCGATCAAACGCTTTTCAAGATTGTTCACAGTGCACCTAAATTACGCAATCTCGTTTTGGCCAAATGCGGTAATATTACGGACGAAGGAGTATATCACATTACTCGATTGGGAAAACACTTGCACTATCTTCATCTTGGCCATTGTTATCGTATTACAGATCATTCAATAACTCACTTGGCTCGTCATTGTACTCGTTTACGGTATCTTGACTTGGCATGTTGTAACCAACTTACAGATGTGTCAGTTTTTGAGCTTTCTAACTTACCAAAGCTGCGTCGAATTGGATTGGTGAAATGTGCTCTTATAACTGATCAGGCCATATTTGCTCTAATTGAAAATCGTGTTGTAGCGCATACTCTCGAACGAGTGCACTTGTCTTATTGTGTCAATCTTACAATCAACGCAGTGTTGGACTTAATTAATTTTTGTTATCGGTTGACACATTTATCTCTTACCGGTGTTCATGCATTTCTACGTCCGGATGTTCAACGTTTTTGCAGGCCGCCACCTAAAGAATTCACCCCTCATCAGAGGCAAGTGTTTTGTGTTTTCAGCGGTAAAGGTGTAAAAGATCTGAGGGCATATTTGAACAATACGCTTATTGGACAACAAAGAGGTCGCATTACTGGTGTGGTTGGCGATGTCGAGGACCAAGTACAGGAACCCATAACGACTGGTGCTGATATTGAAGAATCTGTAGTATCTGAGGCAGAAGGTTAGAGACTTATCTCGCGCGAGGTAAACCTAGCATATATTCACACATCTCGCGCAAGGTTGCATTGCGCGATTTCATGTGAGTCTTGTGAAATTTTTTTCATTATAGAATATTAAAATTTAGTGAAAGGCGTAAAGACCTTTGTTTATATACCCATAGTTTATAAAATTTTTATGCCCGTTTCCATCTTTAAAGTATATTTATTGATAATTGTTTAGAAGCAGAGGATAAAATATTTACGGCGCATAAATATAATCAGGGCAATTGGTCATTACAATAATAATTTCGAACAGTGACAATGTTCTTCAAATGCTTTTGAAAAAAAAGACTTTTATAGCATATTGCAAATAAATATTATATTCTTGATCTTGTAATTTTCGATATTAATAAACGTTAATGTTTCGCATGTGTTTACAACCCAGTTTTTCTAAATAAACATTACATGAATTACAAAACTGTAATTGATGGATATACACAAGTATAAAAGTTTATCTGATGTACCCAAGTAAACATAATTCTAATTGGTCAATTAATTACATTCAATGATTATGAGAAGCGATATTAATATATCAATATCAGTCAATATTTAAAATAAAGTATTGACAAGAGGACTTGGCATTGTATTCTCAACAACCTGAATAGATAGTGTACGAAAGTTAATACCGATTTTAGGAAACCAATTTTGATTTTTTGAAAGTAGTTTAATTCATTACTGTATAATTTATTATAATCAAAAATCATTGCATATAAATTAAATTATAACAAGCTTGTGAAATATGGAATAGCCCTGGATACATACTTGATAGTAGAGATGCGGACATTTGTCAGGTCAAGGGTAGCTACCGGGTACATCTATTTACCCAACAAGATGTTCGATGATTGTCCATGCAAACTCAACCAATTAGAAACTCTAATTTTACTATTAATACCCCCTATAAATTAAACTTTAAGCAAAGATAGATGTTAATTTTTTTTAATCGAATTATACTGTTACAGAGAATTAAAATAAAAAAAAATCACCAAATTTGATTAGCTGGTTGTTGAGATAAATTTGCTCAAAGTTAGTAAACAACTCAAACGTTTTAAAAAATTAAAACTAGACCATATTTCTTCCAAAATTTGAACGAAGTTATCTCAGCAACCACCTAACCAAACTCAATAAAAATTTTTTTATTTTAATTCTCTGGGAGTATAATTTCGAATAAAAAAATTTATTGAATTTTATCACGTAGTTATTAAGATATCTTCGGTTAAACTTTTAAAAAACTCAACTACCTATCAAAATAAAAGCTATGCCAAATTTTTTGAATGATAATATCCTAACAATTACCTGACCAAATTCGATAAAAATTTTTTTATTTCAATTCTTTGAGACAGTAGAATTTGAATAAAGAAAATTCATCAAATTTGATTAGGTAGTTGTCAAAATATCTTCAAAGTTCAGAAAAAACTTAATATATCAAATTTTTTTCTAAATTTTGAATGAATATATCTTGATAACTACCTGATCAAATTCGATGAAAATTTTTTTATTTTAATTTTCTTTAATTTTATAATTCAAATCAAAAATTTTCATCAAATTTGATCAGGTAGTTGTTAAGATATCTTTGTTCAAAGTTTAAAAAAAATTTGGTATAATTTAAATGTTTTTTTTTTAATTTTTTAAAAACTTTGAATAAATGTATTTTGATAACTACTTAATCAAATTCAATAAATTTTTTATTTATTTAAATTCTACTGTTTTAAAAGATTGAAATAAAAAAATTTTCATTAAATTTAATTAGGTAGTTGCTAAGATATCATCATTTAAAATTTAAAAAAAATTAATTATAGTTTTTATTTTGATAGATAAGTTGAATTTTTTAAAAATTTAACTGAAGATATCTTACTAACTATATAATAAAATTTAATAAAATTTTTTTTATTCAAATTATACTGTTTCAGAGAATTAAAATAAAAAAATTTTTATTAAGTTTGATTAGATGATTGCTAAGATAACTTTGTTTAAAATTTGAAAAAAAATATAATCTAGTTTTTTTTTTTAGTTGTTAAAGTGGTTTACATTGTCAAAGGAATTT